AGCAGAACACAAATAAGTGACCTAATCTTTTCTGCAGCCTCAATGGAGGCTTTTTACCTCCCTGAACCATCCCCCGGCACCACAGTCTGTTTTGTTTAGTATTATAAATCTCCAAAGTTGGCATAAGCATGAACACAGGCAAAAAGAGGTACTGATTCTTTGTCTTGTTGACACTTCTAGCTTCTGCAAATTACTCTAAGGTTTTCTGTATATTACAACTATCTGTACTCTGCTTTTATGATCTCTCCCCTATGCAAGTATGACCTTAAGTCACAGGGTAAAAGCAGTTGTTTAAGTATTTTTTATTGCTCTATTGAGCACTCCCAAGAAAGCAAGATTACACTATCACTAACAGTTTCACTACATGTGGCTTCAACAGTGAGATTACAAACACTTGAGGAAGGCTACTAACCTTTACAGTTGATATCAAAGCTTATTTCTCCTTTGTCCATGGTATCCAACAGCTGTTTAACTTCTTCAGCATTTCCATTTCTAGCATCATGGAGAAGCTGCTGTTCTGCTTCAGTACTCATCTCTAATAAAGATAGGAAAGAAGCAATTTTGCAATATCTTATGATGCTGTAAGTTATGGTTTAATATTATGTCACTTTTCTCCCTTATTTAATACCAACACTAGTATGAGAAAGGTAATTATTTCCTCTGTGGAACACATTCAATGCGCAAGCTGTTTGCAACAGCCCACTCAGTCATGCCACTAAGAGGCATTAAAATTCCTCATATAAAGCAGTTAAGTAACAAAATACCCATGCTTTCTTGGTTTTCTAGGTTCTAAGAGTGGCTTGGGAGTTGGAACTGTATGCCACAAATGAGGCAAGCTTTGCTACAAGCATAACCAGTAAGCATTTACTTTTTCCTCACAAGGTTTTCATCTTTATCCCTTAAGGTTTCCAGAGGCAACAGGAGTGGCGGGGAATATGTATGCCTATTAGCCCAACTATTTCTTCAGAATTAACCAAGACTTATTTTGGCTGCCAACCCCAAGGAACCCATGTTCACACGGAGGTCCCTGATACCCATCTGTACTCTCAGCTCTTGAACTCAGATACCCAACCCCCTCCAACCTTGACTTGAAGGGGTCAGATAAACAACTTTGTAGTTTTGACCTTATCTTTAAGAAACACAGTAGTACTATATAATGAAGCTAACATGAGGCTGTAAAACATTGCTAGCTAATTCTCATCTTACTATTGAACTACAGAAACAGTATTTACATCTTTCAAATAAGGGAGAAAATAAAATCTCTTAGCATAACTATTTTTACAGCTCTCTCCTAGACAGGGAGCCTTAGACCTTTGGGCAAGTAATGCTGCTACTTACCAGGTCTCTTGCAGAATACAATTATTAAGTGATGTCTTAACCAATCTTTTTCTGCACTGACAGAATCACAATCTGAAGTTGTTTTGCCTTTTTTTTTTGATGTTATTACAACAACTAGACCCAGAGGCAGTACAGCTAAAAAACAATTTTAATGTCCTATTTAAATACACTGCTTTTAAGATGTGTCAAGAAGCAACTTTAAAAGCAGCCTCAAAAGACTGTACTTCGATACACAATTTATTACTCCTAAAAACAGTAGAGGTTGCCCAAATTTAGTGTCTCTAGCTTAGCATCATCATCTGACACACTAGGTTTACCAGACCCTGCAGAATCTAGATTTCTAAAGACAGTTAATGATTGCAAAGAACATTACTGGCCTCACATAGTTAGCTTTCCTATACTAGCAGAGGCTTTGATTGGTCCCACAAACTGTTTACACAGGCAGCTTGACTGCACCACACACACTCTTAGCTAAAACAGATGCAGGGAGCTCTTCAGCTACTGTGAGAAGCCACTCAGCAAGAAAAGAGACAATGAGAACACTGGGAAAGCAACAAAAAGCCTGTAACAGTGACCGATCTTGTAATATTCAAGACTGAGACAGAAGCCTAGAACAGGACAGCCAAAGCATTAGAAATACAGAGAGTTTTCCCCTTCCTTTCGTTCAATCAGCAAAGGGAGGGGGAATCTGTTTTCAAAGAATCTGCCAGAGAGACTAAGTAAGCCCTTTCTTGCATGTTTCAGAAGAACAGACTGCATCACCTGCAATCTGCCACAAAGTCTTCCTCCAGCAGTGGTTAGACAACACTCTTTTTTGTGCCTGCTTTTGAGTTCTGCTGGGGAAAAAAAACAACAACAAACCCCAGTGCTAGTCCTTGTAGTAATCCTTTGAGCCCTTAAGCTATCTTCTGCTTCAAACAGGCATCTATCCATTTGTCTGAGGCAACACAGAACAGTTTGTTGTTACTGGGGCAGGTATAATTTTCCTCAGCAAATCAGTTCTACAAGTGTCTACAGAAAGATCAAAATCAAACATGTTAATATATTAGCACTCTGTAATACTTTCTCTGAAGCCGAGTGATACTGTTTCAGGGGGACACAAAATGCAGCATTGAGAATCATACAGACAGAAGCTAAGAAGATAGAGCTCATTTTGCAGGCTTACCCATCAGGGATGGGGAGGAAAAAACCCAAACAAAACACAAAAAAGCTCATTCTTCACTTTTCACCCCTCCCACACAGTATTTCTTTAGTCATCTCTGAAATGTCTCAGATGAGGAATACATACTCTTATCACTACCCCGTATCATTTGTCAGCATCCCACATACACAGCAGGTATGAATAATAATTTACTTTTGACACATTAAGAACCTGCAGTTTCCATCTGATATTGATGAGAAGGAAGAAAAGCCTGCTTGGGCAGGCAACCAAGAAGCTCATCCAAATACACAACTCTCGTATGCAGTGAGGCCAGTTATGTGCATGAGCAGAATCTTAAACAGCTTAAGATACATGGAAAGCTGAATCACTGTGTAAAATTACTTGCATGACTTTTCTGCCCCAAAATAGTTATTAGGTTAAAATTTGTTCATACTCTTAAAGCAAACATTAGCAGTAAAGTGACATGTATAGTAATATGGCTAAGAAAGGTCTGTCTGCTTCACTGGTTTAGTCCCCAAAGACTTTGCTGTTTAGGCCAAGCCTCCAATTTCAAATACACTTTGTAAGCTTGAAGCACGCAGTGATGCAGAAGAATGACTGTCTGGCTATTAGTCATAGCTAGAAGAATCACTCGCATGGAAGTGTTCCTACAATTGGGGCTGGAAAGTGAATCTGTGTACAGTTACTATCAGGCAAGAGACACAGAATCTAAAGTGTTAGCTAACAAGCTAAATGAAGTGCCTAAATGAAGCTGCCAGCAAAGGGGCTCTTAGCAGAACTTGAAATAATCTTGAAAATACTGTTTTAAGCAACAGGATTTGCTCTGTAACGGAGATGAGCAACCACCAACAGAAGTTTGAGGGGCAAGTTTAGAGAGCTAAAAGAAATCAATACACAGGCACTCAAGTGCTATGCAGCTACCATTGTACTTTGAAAACATTGGGAGTTTTGCAGATGGGAGTTTATTTAGTCACATGATCCACCACCAAAAGTGCTCCGAAATCCCTACCCACGAGTTTTGAGGTACTGAGCCATACCATCAGCACACTGAGGGAGAAACTTAATAGTTTAGTTTGGATTTATTAGCCATGTGATATTCCTAGCAGGTAAATCTATACGAATTGTACTGCCTATATACAAAGCTACTAGGCACGTAAGAGAGAGGACGTCTGTTCAGTCAGCGGTGTTGCCATTATTATTGTATTCCATTAATTAGCTGATATTGGTTAAACTGCCTTTTACAGCTCATCTTTACACCTTGTAATGTTGAAAGGCTTGTATGCTAGGCTCTACAGTCACTGGTATACCAAAACAACACAAGAACAATATTTAATGCTTCCCATACAGCCAAGTTGTGGCTGCAAGACACTTCCACTGAACTCCTAAGGACTACCCGAGCAGTACTTGATTGCTAATTGAATCTTATCCTTTAAGAAAGTATAAAGAATAGCATTGAGATGCTCTACTTTTATCTTCTTCTGAAACTTATGCCAGAGTACACCTTCTCACACTATTACAGCATCTGTCAGGGTTATTTCCAACAGAGAATAGAGAGCCTAGGTCACCATTCTGCCTGCATGTCTGCTTTAAGGGAGTTTTGCAGAATATTTAACCATGAAAGGCCACCTAATTACCAATATATAAGCTACCAACTTTACCCAACTGCTAGGAGAGAGTCCAAGCAAAAAAAAGATGCTTTTCTCATAAAAACAGTCAACAAAGACCTAAAGCACTGTCCCTGACTACAGGGCAGCATTACTGATAAGACTCACTTGCTTTTGCTTTGATTTCTTCTCCTGCTGAGGCCTCCTGCCTTGTAGGCAACCCAGAACAGCAACAATACACACTAATCAGAACATGGCTGGTTTTCACCCTGCTGCAGCTTGACAACCAGCAGTACTGCCACTGCCCAATCTAGTACTGGGGCTCTGAGTTAGCAGCTACTGGTTGCATAGGAAGCTTTATACACATGACAAATAGTAAGGTTGGTAAATACTAGCCAGTGCTGTGCTTTTTCAAGAGATCTCCCTCTAGCAATGAAAACTCGATTCCTGTAGGAAAGGATGATACTTGCTTAGGAAGACTTCTTACATGCCCCAGCATGCTTACGTTATGAAGTGATACTTGTAAAGGAGGAGGACAAAATGCACCAAACCGCACAAACTGACAGAACCTGTCTACAAACCCACACAACACACTGCAGTGGCAGGAGTTGCTCCAGAAGAAAGAGTTGCAGTACTAGAAGCACGAGTGATGTTATCGAAAAGTAGTTGTTTTAATCGTCAGCTAAAGGGTTCTAAAGTTAGAAGTTGAACATGCTCACAGTACTTCATGTGAAAGCACTGTATATCTAAAATCAGCTTAGTTCACTCAGTAGCAATTAACATGGATGCAGTAACACAGTATCTGTTCAATACCATTGCGAAGGCAATAGCTATTTAAATTAATCCTTGTTCTTAGGCATCTCCTGGCTCTTTTCTGCACATGGTTTCATTCTGTTACGTCAAAGACTTTCTTTCAGCCCAGGAGCTCTGAATAAGCTTACCACAGCTAGTGCGAGATCTCACCGGATCAGCAGGCAAGTACAGTTCCAAGCAAGAAAGAACTTCAGCAGAACCCCTGGAGTTCTCTACATACATCTGGAATCGAGCAGTTCGTTTCAGTACCAGCAGTTAAGCATTTTTTTGAAGGCGACAGGCTCATGCCTCACAGCAAATGCACTCCTCGCCTATAAGAAAGGTGCGCACAGTCTCGGGGCACGGACCACCCCACCTGGAGGCACCAGCCACCCGCCCGCAGCTCCGC